ATATATATATATATATATATATATACACACACACATGGAGTTGCTTTCTTTCTTACATAGAAAGCAGAATACTATACAGGCTGGGCACCCTAATTCAAAAATCTCAATTAGTAAAGTCCATGCAAACATTCCAAAATCTGAAAACCTCTGAAATCTACCCCAGGCCCTAGGCATTTCGAGTAAAGGATGTTTGGCCTGTACATACTCGTCTGCAGCGTGGACTTTGCACTTACGTTCACTCTGACAGTCATCTGTGTCTGCTTTTATGGAGCTCTTCCCTGTTCCCCTTAGCAGTGGCACGTTCCCCTCGTGTGCACATTCTGTGGCTCATTCCTCCAGCCTGCTGGGGGCACATTGCAGTTGCTGCTAATGGTGGCAACCTAGGCATAGGGGCAGCCGCCGGCAGGAAGATGGTACTTGGGGAGGAGGAAGCTCTGTCTGCAGTCAGTCTGCCTGTCCGGACTGAACACATCCCTGCTGGGGAGTTGCTCCACCCACAGGCTGGGATGCTCTGGACCAGACTTGCATGAGCAGAGGTGTGAATATTAAGGCCTGGTGGAGGAACTGTCCCTTGAAGGAATTTAACTTTGGGGAATTGTTGCAGATATACTGACTAATCACTCACTGCGTTCTGCAACCATTCTTTTAAAAAATTAATTCTTTTGCAGTCCTTGTGATTGAACCCAGGATCTTGTGCAAACTGAATTTCATTTTAATTGACAAAGAATAATTATACATATTTATGGGCTACAGTGTCCTGTTTTGGTATATATTTAAGATGGAGGATGATTACATCAGACTAACAAATCCATCACCTCATATACTTAATATTTTGGGAGTGGGAAAAGCATTTAAAATCTATGTTTTGCAATTTTGATATATATATATAATGCATTTTAAAACTTACAATCACTAGTCTGTGCAAACAGTCACTAGATCTTATTTCTTCTCTCTAACAGAAGCCTTGTACCCATGCACCCCAAGGTTATGGAAACCTTGTAATCTTGTATCCATTTCACTCATAACATAGGTGGAATGTATGCTTCTGGTCTGTAGCGGCTTCTGGGAAAATGTTTGTTTTTTGCAGGAGGAGCTCACAATGCTGAGACAGAAGCTGGAAAAATCCGAAAAATCAAGGAATGAACTCCGGCAGAGTGCAGATCTCCTAGAGAGCAAGGTATCCCCGCCCTTCTTCCCAGGTTCCCAGTGGGATGTCTTTGTGTATTGAGGGGGAGAAGATATGCCTGGCGCTGTGCTGAGGGCTTTGTAAGCACCCTCAAATGAACCTGGGAGGTGAATGCAATTATTACACCTATTTCACAGAGGAAAAAACCGAGGCCCTCTTGTATTAGGTATCTTCCCAACACCGCACAGCTAGCAAGCCCCATAGTGAGATTCAAACCCACGTCATCTGGCTCCAAAGGGAAAAATTTCTTAAGTCACAAAAGCACAAATCACAGTGGAAAATGACACCTCTTTGATACCCTAAACCAATAAACTTCTTTAGATCAAAACATAAAACGAAACCACGATACATACTTCAATTTACACCACATAACTAGCAAAGAATATGCAGAATATATATGTAAAACACTTCCTCAAATCAATTGGAAGACAAACACTCCAATAAGAAAAATGGTCCCAGAATATGCATAGGCAGTTCCAAGGGTAGGGGAGGATTCTTATTTCAAAAGTTTATGCATTCAAAAATTCAAATGACCAATGAACTCTAGAAAAGACGCCCAACCTAACTAGCATCAGAAAATTCAAATTAATACCATGCTAGGTACTAGTTTAAACCTCAGACTGGCAAAATCAAAAACTCTGATGTGGCCCCATGTTAGCCAGCATATGCAGCAGCAGGAGCTCTTATAGACTGTCGGTGGAAGTGAAAATTGATCTTCAACAGTTTGGTATTGTCTATGACATTGAAGCTCCACGCCTCATGGTCAGCACGTGCACTTCTAGGTGTATATACTAGAGAACCTGATCTGTGTATATCAGAGGAAAAATTTTTTAACAGCAGCATGTGTCTCATTGAAGGAATGTAAACACCCAAATGGGAGTTTGTCTATAGGAGAATGAATGAGGACATTTGATTATATTGAAGGCTGAGCTCCCAATAGCAGGAGTGAATGAAGAGATGGCAAGGTGTAACCTCATAGACAAAATCCAGTTCACTACCTCCTTTTTGTGAATAAAGTTTTATTGGAACAGGGTCATGCCCATTTGTTAGTGTCTAGACTATGGTGGCTCTCATGCTACCATGGCAAGGTTGAGTACAGGAAACCTGAAAACCTATCTACTCTTTGGATCTTTACAGAAGTTTCCTAACCCTTAAACTAGAGAAACACATGTCAACATGAGTTGCCCTTGCAAGTGCAGTGCTAAAGGACAAGATTTTTTTTTTTTTCTTCCTGGTACCAGGAATCGAACTCACAACCTTGCCCTTGCCAGGCAAGCACTTTGCCACGGAGCTAAACCCCCAGCCCCAAGGACAAAATTTAAATTACAGATGAATACCTAAAATATTGGATCACACATGCTATGTTTTAAAATTTGCAGAACATTGCAGTGGTAGTCTATTTTCTACAACTATACCAGAATACCTGGGCCACATAACTTATAATAGAAATTTACCTACCTCTAGGTTCTGGAGGCTAGGAAGCCAAAGATCAAGTGGCCACATCTGTGAGGGTCTTCCTGCTGTGTCATTCCATCATGGAGAGCATCACACAAGGAGAACATGTGGGAGAGAACAAGAGGGGATGGACTTTGCTATCATAACAGCATTAATCTTACAACATTAATCTTTTTACAACATTAATCTATTTGTGAGGTGGAGCACTCAAGACCTAGTCACCTCTGAACACTGTTGCGTTAGGAATTAAATTTCCAACACATGGACTTTGGTGCATGTGTTCGAACTGTGGTAATTACGCTATATTGATTAGGAGGGTATTCCTTGCATATCCTTATGGTATAAAGATACTTATGGGAAGAATAACAGCAAATCCAGCATAGTGGTTACCTAGTGCATGGAAAGGGCTGTGTGATTGGAGAAGCTAAAGTTCCATGTATATGTGACTTTCTTGCTGATGTTTTCTCTTTACTTGAGTGTTGTGTTTATAGCTTAGGGACAAGGACAAGAACCAGACAGCTCCTGCCCCTAAAAACTCCACTGCAAGTTGCAGGCAGGCTCCCAAGTTATTTCAGACATAACCTGTGGGCATGGGTGTGTGGTCTCTGAGCTCTGTGTAGGCCCAGAAAGAGCCATTTGTTGTCATACTTAGACCTTCAGGGCTGAGACTAGGGTGAGGTGAGGGAAGCCTTTGTCTGGGGCACAAAATCTAAAGCATCACCAAAAATCTCATCAAGTTGAATAATATTTTAACGTACTATTTGAAAAATGCAAATTAACGCAAAAGTTCACGTTGAGCAAAATAACAGCATTTTAAATCAATGTAGGATTTGTGAGTCAAGATTAGGACAAGGCTAGTGAGGCATTGTGCACAGTGGGATCCTGTCGTTACTTAAAATTTTGATACTCATGATGGATTTTGTTTGCACTGAGATTTTAAAATGTTGCATTAAAATATTACTTATATTTTGTGAGCTTGGACACTGCCCCCGCCTTGAATTTTGCATGCTAGGTAAGAGTTCTGCTTGCCTCACTAGTCCCAATTGTTTTTCTTGAAAGCCAGGGGTACCTCATGAGGTTCTATTGAAACTCCAATGGAATCCATTTATTAACCAACTGAACAAATGTTTATGAGCAACTCCCATGTGTTAGCCATTTAGCATGGTGCTTTGAATACAGCTAGGGGCAAAGTTAAGTCTCAATCCTCATGAACTGTCCAGGCCAATAGAGGGAGACAGACCTCAAGTAAACCAGTTCCTGATGGTGAGTTCCTACCGAGATAAAGCAGAAGAGAGTAATAGTAATGAGAAGGCAAGGGGGGCTGTTTTTACCTCAGTGGTCAAGGAGGGCTTCCATGCAAGAGAGATGTTTAACTTTAGAACTGAAGGATTTGTTGTAGTTATTTATGTATAGATATGGGAAAATATAGAAATGGTAGGTGCAAAGGTCCTGAGGCATCCTGGGGGTAATATTTGTCAGTCCAGTGCAAAACTAGAGCATTCTATACCAGCAAGTCCCTGGTGTTTTTTTTTGTTTTTTTTTTTTTTTTTAAATCGGTAATACTGTTGCTTGGTTCAGATAATGGGCAGTGGCAATTGTAGCTGCACTTATGATAAACCTAACAGAACTCACCCTTCTTCCATGGGCCTGGCTGACCTGAGGACGTGGACTGAAGTTTGCCAGGAAGCTCTCACTCTTTGTTCCTTTCACATTCTGCAAGAGTGCATCTGTTGTAGAGGGCTGTCTGCTCCCTGGTGCCCACTCCTGTAGCCTCTTGGGGGCAGGGGTCAGCCATGGGAAGGAAGCAGCAGCTGCTACTGTCACACCCATGTAGAGAGTCAGGAGAAGCTGGCTGTGGTCGATGCACCCTGCCGCGGTTGATGCACATTGCGCCTGCACCTGTGTCGCTATGAGGAGGCGGGGAAGCCACACCTATGTTCCTCTTGGCCTCATTTGTGTCCCTGGAGAGCAAGCTGCCTGACCTCTCTGACTGGTAGCTGCAAAAAGTAGAGCGAGCGGAGAAGTGGAAAAATTAGAGAGCTGGGAGCTGGCGGAGAATATGAGTGACTTCCCCGTGGAAATTCCTTCCCACCAACCTGCCATTTGATGCAGTAATGAATCACAAGCTGTCAGGTCAGATGCAGGGATTTGCAGTGCATAGGCTACTGGGGATTTGCAGGGCTGAGGTACACCTCCTTAGCATCCTGAGCAACAGCTTGTGGGGGCTCGGAGGAGGAGGGGACAAAGTTCAGGGCCTGAGACCTGAGCCCAGCACACGGGGTCGGCACCTGCAGGATATCCTGCGGCTTTGTGCGGGACATAAGACGGCAACAGGTAGAGGCGGGTAAGGCTGAGGCTGCTTTTAAACGCGAAGAGAATCAGAGCAAAGGGAAATAAAAGTTGAAGAGGATGTGAGCCCGGGGAATGAGTTAGAGAACAGCAGTCTCCCACTGACCGCAGACTGCACTCACAGCATGGTCTTTGCAAACCCCGTCTGCCTGGCCTGGAGCGCTCCCTTCACCTGCCTCCCCTGCTTCCTGCCTCTCCCTTCTCATGAGTGCAGGTGCTGCTGCCCTCAGGAGTGTTATCTGACGGTTTCAGGGAAGGTTAGAGCCCTACTCTGTGCTACTGTTATCCCTATGTTCTCCTCAGCACTGACCATTTTTTAACACCTTCCTGCAAATCTGTGTCCCAGCCAGACTTACACCCTAAGGGCAGGGATATGTCTCATTCATTTTACAGCCTAAGCCACTGGCACAGAATATACGGAATGAGCTGATAGTCTCCCACTGAGCTTCCTAGCAGCCAAAACTAAAAGGGAAATAAGATATCTTATAGACATGTTGGGCCTACGTTAAACTAAGAAACACCTATTGCTTGAGATGGGAGTAATTTTGGGGGGAATTGAGGTGTTAGGTAAATCTGTATTATGGATCACGAAAAGGCCCTAAAGGATATGGCAAAGTATGGCTCTGATAACATTCATACGATCATTAATCCACACTGGGGTTCTGTAGGGGTGTTTTGGTGGCACCATCTTGAACTGTGAGCCCAGGGCATGATGTCATTCCATAAATATTAATCAGACTGGAAGTCAAAGCAGTGCTTTCTCCAGGAGGCACATGTTCAGGTCGGCAGGTTAAAGTTTCTTCCTCCTCCCATATTGTCCTCTCCCTCCCCTCACCCCTTTCACTTCCTTCTTCTTAAATTCAATATTAAAGTCCACATACAAATAGGTGCACATGTCATCCGTGTGTAGCTTGGTGAATTTTTCACAAAGGTACACACATCACTGTGGCCAGCACCAGACAGAGACAGAGCATCCCTGGCTTCTCCAAAGCCCCCTCTTATTTCCTTCAGTGACTGCCCTCTGAGGGTGACCTCCGAGCTGACCTCTAACAGTAGAGGTGAATTTTCCTTCCCCTCTTTGAACTTTACTAAATGGACACAGCTGGGTGTGCTGATTTGTGTCTGGTTCCATGCATTTGACTTTATGTCTGTGACATTTACTCATGTCCAATGTTGTGGGCAGTTGT